AAATAAGCCAGATTGTAGAAGCTGTGAGGTTGAAGACTGAAGAGCAGGGGAAGGCAGATGGGGCGGGAGGGCCTGAACTGAGCAGCACAAGGAGCTCCTTGGTCAGAATCTGTCCAGTGGCCAACTAGGTGCAACTCTTACAAAGAACCCTGATGGGTTCATTTCCAAGATGACCAAGAAAAGAAGGAATAACGGTCGTGCCAAAAAAGGCCGAGGCCATGTGCAGCCTATTCGTTGTACCAACTGCGCCCAGTGCGTGCCCAAGGACAAGGCCATTAAGAAGTTTGTCATTCGAAACATAGTGGAGGCCGCAGCCGTTAGGGAATCTCCGAAGCGAGGGTCTTCGACGCCTATGTGCTTCCCAAGCTGTATGTGAAGCTGCATTACTGTGTGAGCTGTGCCATTCACAGCAAGGTAGTCAGGAATCGTTCCCATGAAGCCCGGAAGGACTGAATCCCCTCACCCTGATTTAGACCTGTGGGTGCTGCCCCACGACCTCCACCAAAGCCCATGTAAGGAGCTGAGTCTTTAAAGAGTCAAGAAAAGTTCTCTGGGGGAAAAATAAATGGAAATTGTATTTCATATAGAAAAAAAAAAGAACCCTGATGGGAACCCTGGATGGTTTGCTAGGCTGAATCCCCGTCAGGTCACCCAGGATCCCATTTCTGAACCAAGCAGGACCCCACAGTTCATGGGCACACTGACCATTGGCCAACGACCATATTACAGTTCCCAATCTATAATAATAAAAGCATAATATGCTAATTAGACCAGCCGTCCTTCCAGACGACCTTCCGAACGAAGCCGGGGCTGCAAGAGAAGCCTGGGTCCCAGGTGCCTGCTGGCGGCCGGAGGGAAGCCCAAGTCCCGGGTGCCTGCCAGCAGCCAGAGGGGAGCCCAGGTCCTGGGTAGCAGAGGGAAGCCGGTGCTGGCAGCCGGGGGAAGGAAGGCCTACTCTTGCACGAATTTCATGCATCGGTCCTCTAGTCCATAATATGAGTGAATTTAACTAGATTGCATTTTAGGTGCCTTCCTGTCCTGACATTCTGTGAATTCTTTTTACATTAGATTCTAATGATCTCAGGCACATGAGACCCTCAGAAACCTCATGTGCATTCTTGGATACTCTGTCCAAAGGCACCAATTTGCTCTTCTTTGGTACTTGTGGACAGGAATCTTACATAAATTGGAATAATCTCTGTAGAGGTCAGTTTGGCACTGTGATGGTTAATTTTGTGTATTAACTTGGGCGGGCTACTATACCCAGATGTTGGTCAAATATTATTCTGGATGTTTCTGTGAAAATGCTTTGTTGTGGGGAAGCACGGGACTTGGTTGGAAAGTCTATAAGGAGGAATCTCCAAAAGGTTGGGGGCCTCTAGGTAAGCGGTTCTCAACCTGTGGGTCGCGACCCCTTTGGGGGTCAAACGACCCTTTCACAGGGGTCGCCTAAGACCATTGGAAAACACATATATAATTACATATTGTTTTTGTGATTAATCACTATGCTTTAATTATGTTCAATTTGTAACAATGAAATTGGGGGTCACCACAACATGAGGAACTGTATTAAAGGGTCACGGAATTGGGAAGGTTGAGAACCACTGCTCTAGGTGAACCTTGCCAAAGGCGGCAGACCCTGCCTTGACTTTTCCAAACAAGTCTAAGCCCTCTGGTGTTTTACTAGAATCTTTATATTTAGACTCCAAAATGTCCTTGTTTTAAAGACACTACAGATACATTTGTTTTCTCAAGGATGCTTACCCTGCTGACAGTATCTAATAGTTAATTGTAGTTCAAGCTGTTGTTACAATAAAAGTCTAAGGAGGCAGGCAAACGGGGCTGTTTAGATTGCTATAGCCAAGCAGTCCCTTAGCCCTCTCTTTCACAGAAAATGTACCAGAGTAATGCATTCATCCATAGCTCAGGGTCTGCAGGTCAGTCCTGGCACTTTGTGGATGAGATTAACATTTAAATTGGTAGACTTTTCAATCAGAGTAAAGCAAATTCCCCTCCATAGTGTGGGTGGGCCTCCTCTAATCAGTTGAAGGTCTTACTAAAACAAATACTAACTCCCCTGTCTTCCCCAGCAAGAAGGAATTCTGCCAGCAGACTGCTTTGGACTGGATTTGTAACTCCTCCCTGGGTCTTTAGCTGACCGGCCTTCCCTGCAGATTTTGGACTTCTGAAGCCTCCAAAAGCATGTGAATCAATACTTTAAAATAAATAAACCTTGCACTGGCCGGGCAGCTCAGTTGGTTGGAGTGTCATCCCGATGCACCAAGGTTATGGGTTCCATCCCAGGTGAGGACACATATAAGAATCAACCAATGAGCCATAGGTAGTTTGGCTCAGTGGATAGAGCGTAGAGCATCAGCCTGCAAACTGAAGGGTACTGGGTTTGATGCCGGTTAAGGGCACATACCTCGGTTGCAGGCTCCATCCCCAGCCCTAGTAAGGGTGTGTGCAGGAGGCAACCAATCGATGTGTCTCTCTCACATCGATGTGTCTCACTCTGTGTCTTTCCCCCTTCCTTCCACTCTCTCTAAAAATCAATGGAAAAATATCATCAGGTGAGGATTAACAAAACAAAGAAAAAGACTCAACCAATGAATGCATAAATAAGTGGAACAGCAGATGGATGGCTCAACAGATTGATGTTTCTCTCTCCCCCCATTCTCTCTAATATCAATCAAATTAAAAGATAAATCTCTCTCTACACACACACCTCTGTTGGCTGTTCTCTGGAGAGCCCTAATACTGGCACTATTTAGCAAAATTGCAAATGCTAGTTATCACCCATTCACATATGAGAATATGCTGCAACCACAGAAAAGGGTGCAGACTCTATGTACTGAAGGAAAGATCTCCAAGATACATTAAAAATAGTGTGCATAGTCCAGCTGGTATGGCTCAATGGTTGAACATCAACCCACAAACCAAAAGGACGCCAGTTTGATTCCGTCAGGGCACATGCTCAGGCTGTGGGTTTGATCCCTGATAGGGGGTTTGCAGGAAGCAGCTGATCAATGATTCTCTTTCATCACTGATGTTTCCTTTTTTAAAAAAAGCAACATATTTTTATTGATTTCAGAGAGAGGAAAGGTAGAGAGAAAAAGATAGAAACATCAGTGGTGAGAGAGAATCATTGATCAGCTGACTCCTGCATGCTCCCCACCAGAGATTGAGCCCACAACCCAGGCATGTGCCCTGAGAATTGAATCGTGACCTCCTGGTTCATAGGTCGACACTCAACCACTGAGCCACGCCGGCTGGGCCATCATTGATGTTTCTATCTCTCTCTTTCCCTCTCCCTTTCTCTCTGAAATCAATAAAAACATTTTTTTAAAAATATATTTTATTGATTTATCACAGAGCGGAAGGGAGAGGGATAGAGAGCTAGAAACATCAATGAGAGAGGAACATCGATCAGCTGCCTCCTGCACACCTCCTACTGGGGATGTGCCCGCAACCAAGGTACATGCCCTTGGCCAGAATCAAACCTGGGACCTTTCAGTCCGTAGGCCGACGCTCTACCCACCGAGCCAAACCGGTTAGGGCAATAAAAACATTTTTTTAAAAAGTATTTTAAAAAATAGTGTGTATAGTATACAATCATCTGTGTAAACAATAACAAAAAAGAGTAAAAATTTAAATTCCTACTGCTTATATGTGGGGAAAACCCTGTAGAGGACACCTAAGAAACTAATAGCAGGGTCACCTGTTGGAGGGCAGTAGGGGAGCCCAGTAAATGGGAAACAAAGAAGGGAGACATTTTTGCTTTACTCCTTTTAATACTCTTTGATAAACGCATATTTAGCTTAGGCCAATATGGCTCAGTTGGTTGGAGTGTTGTCCTGTACACCGAAAGATGGCAGGTTCAATTCCCAGTAAGGGCACATGCCCAGGTTGTGGGTTCAATCCCTGGTCAGGGAGGGTGCAGGAGGCAACTGATAGATGTTTCTCTCTCACATAGATGTCTCCCCCCCCCCCACCCCCCGTGCCTCCCTCCCTCTCTAAAAAAAAAAAAAACCAAAAAGGCACATGTATTCTTTGGCTAAGCAATTCCACATTCACATATTTATCTTATAAATGTACTTCCACGCATGCAAAATGACATATATACAAAAATATTGAGTTGCAGAATTGCTTATAAGAGAAAAAGAATAGAAATAACTTAAACACCTATCAGTAGGAAACTGGTTAAAAAAACCATTCATTTGAAGAAACATGGTACATTTGTTACAAGGAATGAGGCTTTCTCTGTTCTGATGTGGAATGATTTCCAAGTTAAGTAGAAAAAAGCAAGATGTGCATATAGTACACTATCATTTGTGTATGGAGGGGAAAAGTCAAATTCTATGCATATACATTTGCAAATGCATGACATCTACAGAAAAACACAGAATAAACTAATTGCAGTAGTTGCCACTGGGAGGGGAACTAGGTAACTGGGAAATGAGGGTAAGAAGGAATTACTTTACACTATAGCTCTTGAGTCATGGGTATATATTATCTATTCAACAAATTCTGGCCGGGCAGGGTAGCTCAGTTGATTAGAGTGTCATCTTGATATGCCAAGGCTGTGGGTTCGATCCCCGGTTAGGGCACATACAAGAATCAACCAATTAATGCATGAATAAGTAGAACAATAAATTGATGTTTCTTTCTCCCTTCCCCTCTCTCCTAAAATCAATCAATAAATAAAATTTAATTTTTAAAAAAAATTTCTGAGGGGAGAGGTAGGAGGAAGTCACATGCTAGAGTGGGGGCTAAGGTCATCTCAACACAAAGCAGTGATATGCTCTGCTTTTCATGTTTTTAACCTGAGTTTCCCCTGAACTGCTCTTACAAATTCCAGCCTCGAACCACAGCTAATTTCACTGAAAACCCAGGGCCTTCACCAAAACCAGGGAAGTAATTTTTGAAGATCAGATCATTAACTCTCTGCAAGGCAGAGGACTCTTTACTCCACACACAAAGACAACTGGATGCAGACCTTTTCTTTGCAATCTTTTTTATTAATCATCTAACCAACAATGGTGGTCAGCTTGAACCAAAACAAGCTGTAACAGCCTCAAAAAAGGCCTGCTTCATTACAACACAATAGGGAAAACCAGAAATGAAGATAGTCTTGCCTCCGTTCTTTTCAGAGTAGGCCAAACATGTATCTGTACATAGTTGCCCTATTAAAAACGGATTAGCAACATATGTAATACTTCCAACAATGAAGAAAAAAAACACCAAAAAACTGATTAGCAGTGCACCATCACCAAAACCACAGAGTGTAAAAATCTTGTTGGGGATTCCTAACGTGTCATTCACAGAGCCAGCCTCTTCCTCAGCCATAAACGAGCCCTTGCTTTTTTAGGGAGAAAGAACAGAAATACAGGATGATCAGCCTGGATCTTCAGTGATGGCACCTTTTGTTTACTCTGGAACTTTGATGGGGAGGGAGCTCATTTATTTCCTCCCTGAATCTCAGATGCTAGCCTGTTTGAATATCAAACAAGTGTCCTGGGTGATAGGTGGTGGAGGTTCCCTTAACAAAGAGTTTACAGAGTAATTGTGTAGGGCTCTTTAAGTACTTAATCCTGTTGTTTTTCAGAAGCCTTTGCACCTGGGCTCCCAAGAAGCAAGGAGGGCCTAATCAGTGCCCCACTGGCCTGAGTGAGGTGCTTCTCAGAGCAGTCACCCACAGAAGCGGAGGCAGCAGGGGAGGGCAAAGGTGGAGATGCAGGGGGACAGAAATCAGCTGAAACACTCCATGCTGGTTCTGACTCGCTCCATCTCATGCAGGAAGCTGTAGAACTGAGGCAAGGTTAACTCTGGGGGAAGAAAAGGCAGCTTTAGGTAAATGTTTCCAACTCCACAGAATCATCCAAGAAAATTAATTTCCACCCAGAGAATTGTTTTTTCTTTTTTGGCTTAGTATAACCAGGCAGCTTTTGTTGGGTAATTGGTCATAATAAAAAACCGAGAGCCTTGAATATAGGAAAGTTCTCAGCCCCATAAAAAAGGAAGAAGGTTTAAAATGGCCCAACTCCAGGGCATAGAGATGAAAGGGCATTAGTAGGATATACAATGGCTTCTACTGTAAGAGCTTCTTGCTCTTCAATCTTTGCCATTCCTTTCCCCCCTTTTTCAGAAAGGTTCTTCAACTCTGGGGTCTCCAACTTGTCAGCAGCTTATTAAGTATCTTTGTACCATCTTTTATGAGAGGAAGGGCAGTGGTTATAATATAACTTAGTAATGACTTTTTCTGGAAGAAATTATTTGTGGTGGGCTACATGAGCCCATTGAGTGAAGAGAACAGAGAAAAAGGGGAAAGGTTCAAATGGGAATTTGGACTCACCTATATATAAATTTTCAGTTTGATTTCCTTTTTTAAGCACCAACTTTAACTGATGAAAAAGAAGAAATACAAAATTTTAAATTAAAATGACAACTAGGCAAAGAAATTTTTGAAACCTGAACTTTCACTTAAACATCAAAGCATCCAGTTTCTAAATTGAGGGTTTACAAGAGCAGTCTGGATTGTCCACCAAAACTTCTAAAAAGTCCCATGATTACAGGAGCAATCAAACTTTTAAGAATAATACCTGGATCCTATTCATCTGAAAGTAAGTATGTTGATAACCATGTCTTTGGCTGACCACATTGCTCTGAGGCACTTCAGTGGACCATCCATTTAATTGGTATTTAAAGAAACCCAATGTAGGTTTAATAATTTTTAACCAAGTCAAAAATCTACCCATTTTCAACAATCAAGAGAAGACTTACTTGTAGAAAAATACTTCCCACTTTTTCCAGTTCACTGCTGCCAGAAGTCACTATGATACAAAGAGAAAACTAGTAAGCGGCTGGTTGAGGACCCACTCTGAAGACCCCAATCTTGCAGGTTGTGCAGCAGAAGCCAAATGGGGGTGAGTATGAGGAAGCAAAATGTGCTTTTCGGGAAGTCAACATATCAATAGCCGTGGGTAGAAACAGCTGCTGGAATATGGATGGCAATACAGAGAGGTAGCTGCTGGCCCCAACGGTGTTTGAGGATGGAGGGAACCTCTTACCCATAGAAGCTATCTAAAAGCTCCTGCAACCCAACCCTACAGCACCCAAAGGACCCGAGACCGGCTCTAACTAGTTACCTCCAAATTTCCACTCCATATCTATAAGCTGGTTAATCATCAGAGTCTGACCTATGGCCCATCGAGCAAGAGTGGGGGCATTCTGCTTCCACTGAAACAAAAACAAAAAGCCAAAGTCTTAACAATGGGAAAAATTCTCCCTCTTCATTCCACCCCCCACAGCAATGTTTAGTTTTTTATACAGACAGTGGGAAGAAAGCAGAACCAAGGGCTGGTCTAGATGCACAGATCTGGGGGGTGGGGGAGTGTAGAGGGCACAGAAGATAATATAAATTTTTTCTTTCATTCCCAGATTTAATCCATGTTGGAACAACAACAGTATGACATTAATATTTAATCAGATCAGTGGGGTGCACTAAAAAATGCACAAAAATTACAAATGTGTTAAATAGTGCAATTTAAAAGCTGGTTGTATGTCATTTGCATGAAACCAAATAAAAAACATTAAGCTGGGGAGATGACACATAAAGATTGATGACTTTTCCTTAGTTGGCATTTTCCATGTTTCTTTTCGTGAAATAAAAGCAAGTGATCTTAATTAACCTTGATTAAGAGGAATTATGATACCTTTTCAGAAAAGTAAGTGGCTTTCTCTTCACTAAGACCTATGAGAGAACATAGGGAGACATTAATATACGAAAGAGTTGCAAGGCCTGTCACTCTGAGGAACCTTGGTGATGACCTACCCAGAGTTATGAAATCAGCTCGGACCTGCTCAGCTGTGAGACTCTTCTTCAAGGCACCTGGGAAAAAGGGGAGAAATCAGTTACAAAGGACAAATCAATTAATCAGTTAATAGTATTTATTGGGCACAACTTATACAACACAGATGACACAAGGAATAGGCAAAACTCAGTTGCTCCATGAAGTTCTCAATTCAGTTGGGGAAAAAAGTCACATTGAGACAAGTGGAGAACAAGACAGACCATTTTGTTTATTGTACAACACAAGTGTTTACCTCCCACCTTCCCCGAAAGTACAGAAGACATTAGAGACAGAGGAAAAGGTTTTGTGAACTTAGGGGTGGGGGTACCTGATCTGAGGGAAGAAGAACGCCACAGATTCCTAGAGCAAAGTGCAGGAAGCTCAATGCTGGGCTGGGCATAGGGGCAACAGCCTAGAACTGCACTGTGCAATACATAACCACTAAACACGTGTGGTTATTTAAATTTATTAAAATTAAATAAAATTTTAAATTATGTTCCTCAGCCCCACTAGCTATTTCAAGTGCTTAATAGCCATATGGCTCCAGTGGCCACAATACATACTGGACAGTGCAGATTATAGACCATTTCCACCTACATACAAAGTTCTAGCCTGGCCAGCGTGGCTCAGTGGTTGAGCTTCAACCTATGAACCAGGAGGTCGCAGTTTGATTCTGGTCAGGACACATGCCGGGGTTGCGGACTCAATCCCCAGTGTGGGGTGTGCAGGAGGCAGCTGATCAATGAATCTCTCTCATCATTGATGTTCCCATCTCTCTCTCTTTCTCTCTCTCTCTCTCTCTCTCCCTTCCTCTCTTAAATCAATAAAAATATTAAAACACACACACACACACAAAACAAACACAAAACAAAGTTCTATTGGACAGTGCTGCCCTAGAAAACCAGCTTGCAGGAAGTACACCCAGATGGGCTCAATATTTGGCCTTTACAATTCACAAGTCCCTTCCAAGAGGCGCATCAAACCTTCCCCTCAGAAATTCTGGAACACTCCCCAGTGGGGGCTGCTTTGTTCTTTCTGCCCACAAGCTCCAATTCCTGAAAACTAAGTGTTGCCAGCAATCTGAATGTCTAAATGTTTAACCTGAAGGCTACAGCCTAGAGCAGCCGTGGGCAAACTACGGCCTGCTGGCCGCCCGTTTGAAATGAATAAAACTAAAAAAAAAAAAAAGACCGTACCCTTTTATGTAATGATGTTTACTTTGAATTTATATTAGTTCACACAAACACTCCATCCATGCTTTTGTTCCGGCCCTTCGGTCCAGTTTAAGAACCCATTGTGGCCCTCGAGTCAAAAAGTTTGCCCAGCCCTGGCCTCGAGTCACAATTTGGCAACTGATCTAGAAATTTCCACTTCTTAGTCTTCCAGAAGATGATTAAAGAATAAGGAGGGCTCTGAAGTAATTCCCTAACACCAAGTCCCCACCCTACCCTCAACTCACTCCTAAAGGCTGTTGTCCCTGAAAAATAAACCATGTAAACAAAGGGAGGAAATCTTTTATCTCCAAAATCAGTCTGAGCAAGGAAGCCACAGGGAAATTAAAAAAAGGCAAGACCTGAGGAAACTGTGGCCATAAAAGCATTCCAAGAAGGGGGTCACTTCCTAGCCAATCCAATGAACTCAAACTATCACATGTACAGCTCCTTCATATTTATCCAGTTAAAACCCAACATTTTGCTTGATTATCCCAAAATACTCTGAAGTGGGCACTATTGAAACCTTTATCAGGAAAATAAATATCAAGCTTTTGGGGGAGAAAATTTGTAAAATGTACATAGTCAACAATTGCACTGCCAAAAATTCACCCAACAGATTTATCCAAAAGTATCCTGAGGCCCTAGCTGGCTTGGCTCAGTGAATAGAGCCTGTGTACTGAAGGGTCCTGGGTTCGATTCTGGTCAAGGGCACATGCCCGGGTTGCAGGCTCAATCCCCAGTAGAGGGTGTGCAGGAGGCAGCCGATCAATGATTCTATCATCATTGATGTTTCTATCTCTCTCTCCCTTCCTCTCTGAAATCAATAAAATATATTAAAAACAAAGAAACAAAAAAAACCCATAAAAGTATCACTGAAGAACAAGGAAGTCATTAGCATTGTCGGTAGAAAAAGTCAAGGAACTGAGGCTG